GGTGAGCACCTGTAGCGGAACGCTCTCTGCCCGAGAGCGTTACACTGGTAAGTCTGGTAAGTCTGGTAACTGTCAGTAATGTCTTCTAGAGGACGGTGGTCTCCAGGGGCAAAACAGTCTCCTTGCGGACAGCGAAGAACTCGCGAGGAACGTGACTGTTACCCTAACCCTTCACCCCTGTGGTGAAGATTGGATAGCTATGGTGAAAACCACAGTAAGCTCAAGCCGTGCGAAAACAGCGCAGGCACGTCTAGGCGCCGCAGAAGTCGCACGCCGAACCGTCCTCCCATCAGCCTCCGAAATTTTCGCAAGCTACAAGTTTCTTTATCAGCAAGGCTGGGGCTGCGGTTTGAACTGCCAGTACCTTACCCATATATCGGCGACCACTGGCAGGAAAAAAAATCCAGATACGGAAAACAGGCCACCGATGAAATTTATCACCGGCGGGGCTCGTGGTTTGGAAAGCCGGTTGGCTGTAACCGGACGCCGGACCCGAGTTCTAGCCAGTTTATTAGAAGGTTTGGATTGGAAATGGTTTTCTTTTGCATGTGACGCTGGACCCGGAACTACGGACTTCCCGGAACACAACGCACCCTAATAATGAATGCATGCAGACTATCTTTCCAGCCAGGTACAGTAAAAATGAGGGTGCGTTGGTGTTCAGGGGAAGACGGGTAGCTCCCACTCGAGAGGGCTTTTCTTTTCTTTTCCTTTCCTTACCTCCAAGCCTTTTTTGCCAAGGCTGAGGCCGAGGCGGAGTAGAACTGCGTGCCGACGGTGGGCCAAAGTGCTAGAATTTTCTTTTGGCTGGTGCCACCAGCATTTGTGGTCTGGTAGCGCCCAGCCTCGGCCAGCCTCCAACGAATCTGGTGTATAGGTTATATTCACGACCTAGCCTCCCCGAAGAATGTGGTATACGTTACATTCACGACCTAGCCTCCCAGGCTGAAAGGCAGTGGCGGTTTAAAAGGGTGACGGCCTGGAGATGTCGTCATTGATAACTGACCGAGCCCGATGTAATTCAAAATGATCTTGTTCTGGTCATCTGATTGTCTCTGGATTCGAACGCGGGTCTGCATTTCAACATTTGGGCGTGGGTGTACCAGCTGAGCTAGGCCCGTGGGTACACTAGAGAGGGTCTGAGCTAGGCCCCTGGGTACACTAGAGAGGGTTTAGTCTTCCATCCGAGTATTTTTTCAACATGGCAATTGTGTGGCCGTGAGATGTTCAGATCTGATGGTCCAATGGGAGGTACTGATGCGTATTGAAACCAAGTCTAAACCCCGGTTAGTCCGATGGGAGGAGGGGGGAGGTCCCACTAGCAAGGAGGATTGGATTGACCACCTGAATCTGGACTTGTTTTTGGAGACATGCAGAAACGGGATTGATCTGCTTTTCTGCACCTCTGCATCAAACACGTCCAGATTCAAGACTTGTTTTTCGAGACATGCAGAACCGGGATTGAAAACCAAGTCTAAACCCCAGTTAGTCCGATGGGAGGAGCTGGTGCGTACTGAAAACCAAGTCTAAACCCCAGTTAGGGGGACAGACTAAGACCCCGGTTTGCAGCAACAAGCCTAAGCTGAGTAATGGCTTCAGTATATCAAGGGGCGAGTTCCCTCCAGCAAAGAGGATTTGATTTATTGCCTGAATGTGGACGTGTTTGTGCAGAGATGCAGACAATTGGATATATCTCCAAACAGAGCTGCCCGGTAAACCGTAGGCAGAAAGGGAGAAGAGGACAACAAACCAGGGGCTGTAACAAACTGTTTGGTCGGAGTTTCACCGACTCATCAGAAGGCTGAACCCTCTACTGTCTGCAGAGTGCCCTAACTGATTACACTGTAAGTGATAATCCACCTTAACCCCCTGTTGTGGTTAAGCATCAATGACAGACTGCGGGTTCACACCCCATCACAAGCCAGCAAAACACCCACAAAACAAAGCAAGGTCTGCCACAGCCAGAAAATAAAATTCACTCCAGAGTGTACACTCTGCTGGCGCTAGAGGCACAGCATGGCCTCGTAGTAACGGCCCCCACCACTGATGGGGCCCCGACCACTGATGGTTGCTCTACCTGAACGGAGAAAACCGTAGCAGGGTGCTATCGAAGTCGTGGTATATATCATCAAATATTATCACATGATATCAGAGCGCCGAAGCGAAAAACGAAAGAAAACAAGGAAAACAAGAAAAACTTAATTCATTTTTAATCCTCTTCCTTACAACTCCCCCTGTTCAGAACCTCTTGCGTACAAGGCCGCCCACGTGGATGTAGGTTGGAGCGGCGGCTGCCCCCACCCCCGTGTGTCATATCGACCCACTTGCACACAGCCAAAAGGCAAAGCGGCAAAGAAAAGAGGAAGGGAACAGCCAAATAATACAGAACAGGGGGCAACAAAACAGATCCCAGATGACAAGTCCCGCATGCAAGCACCGCCCCTGCCCACAGGCGAAACGACGGGACAACACCAACCAGGATGTCAAGCATTCTTGTCTGCAAAAAAAATCAAAAAGAACCCGGAGGACAGGTATAAAAAACAATCCTGGATGATGATTCCCACATACAAGCACCGCCCCCCTTTCCGAAAGGCCGAACAACGGGAAACAACCAACCAGGATGCCAAAACAATAAAAAAGCCCGGATGACTGGTCCCACATGAAGCACCGCTTATATATATATCCTTCCCTTGTTTTGCTTTTTTCCGCCTTCGCGCTCTGATTTACAGTGTGACAATATTGTCACATGAATATCAGAGCGCAAAGGCGAAAAAAAACGACGAAAACAAGAAAAATAATAATTCGTTTTTTTATCTTCTTTCTTACAACTCCCCCTCTTCAGAACCTCTTGCGTACAAGGCCGCCCACGTGGATGTAGGTTGAGCGGCGGCTGTTGTTTTTCAAACTGGCCTATCTCAGTTGGTATACACATGTACTGTTGAATTGTTTTCTATTTCTTTCAAAAAACAAAACAAAAAAAAGAATTCTTTTTTTTTCAACATACCAGCTTCGTATTCGTGGGAAAGCAGCACGCGCTGGTAACAGGGCCCAAACCTGAGTTCGATTCCAATGAAATACTGTAATATTATGCGCTAAAATGAATTTGAACCTCGCACACGCAAAAAAAGCAGGAAAAAAAAAAAAAAAAAAAAAACGTAGCCGGTTCAATCCGATGTGCTCCGCTCTACTGTCTTCCCCCGAATAGAACGCACGGTCATCATAACTGTGTTTGGCCCAATTTTCCGTCTACATACCCATTCTGGTGAAGCCGGTATTCCGATCATCGCCGCATTCACGCACACCTCAGAACAAATAATAATCTTATCCAAGACGATCTTCTTCTTCTTCTTCTTCTTTTTTTTTTTTTTTTTCAAGGGCGATGGCCTTGAGATATCATCTTTGAGCTGACCAGGCCCAGGTAAATTCAAATTCAGACTTATTTTCACTCATCTGATTCCATTCAAATTAGAACTCAGGTCCGCATTTCAACGGTTGGTAGGTTTACCAACTGAGGTAGCTATACGCCAGTCGGTCCGAAACGATCTTCTTATCCAATCGTATCCCCGTCCCTTTTTTTTTCCTTTTCCTTTTTTTTTTTTTTCCTTTTTTTTAAAATAAGCCCCTTGCTTTTTATTTGTTTTCTAATTTAAATTATCTATTTGTTTTCTAATTTAAATTATCTATTTGTTTCCTAATTTAAATTATCGATGGACCACGGATCAGGTATTACACTGATCAAACCACCATTACCTTTCTCGTCCTTTTGGCTAAAAATAGATCGTGTAGTATCTGTTCTGATCATCAGTTTAATATCTGGTCTGTGATCCATAAGGAAGTAAAAAATAAACAAATACTACACAGATCTATTTTCAGCCAAAAATAAGAACTGATCAACGCAGATAGTACGGACGTGGGTGCACCACTAGCCGGCCACCAAGATTTTGGATGCATATGGACAGCCTCGCTGTCCTAGTGCATTCAAAATGCTGGGGGTGACGAGTGGTGCAACTACCCTGGCTAGGAACTTTATCTATTACTGTATTAGCCAAAAGGCCGAAAAAGGGATTAATTTATCCGATCTTATCCTTGTCCCGATCTTATTATTCGACCTTATCCCGATCTTATCCGATCCGATCCCGACGCATCCGATCCGGTCCGATCTAATCTCATCACCGGCAGACAATCATGATCATTAGTCAGGGCATACTCACACTGCCGTAAATGCGGTCAGATGCATCCAGGCACGTCCTCCTGTGAGTATGCTCTCAGAAGTCATTACGCATACCTGCATTTCCTTTAAAAAATAAAAAAAGGACAACGGCCTTGAGATATCATCACCAAGTCGAACAGCCCCAGTTAATTCATAATTATTTCATTGAATACATCTAGGTCCGTCAGGACTCGAAGGGTCTGTATTTCTTTTCTATTTTTTTGGGTGTACGAACTGAGCTAGGCTCATTGGTATTTCCTTTTTTCCTTTTTTCCTTTTTGCTCTTCTCTCTTAGTGAGACAGAGACAGAGGGAGACAGTCAGATACACACACACACACACACACACACACACACAAACACAGAGAGAGAGAGAGAGAGAGAGAGAGAGAGAGAGAGAGAGAGAGAGAGAGAGAGAGAGA